CACACACACACACACACACACACACTCTTATCTGTCTCTCCCCACCCCTTTTTCCCTCTGGTAATCATCATACTGTTTGTCTGAGAGGGGTCTATGAGTTGTTTCTATTTTGTTTGTCAGTTTATTTTGTTTATTAGATTCCACATATAAGTGAAATCAGATAGTACTTGACTTTCTCTGACTGGCTTATTTCACTCAAACTTCTAAGTTTTATGTGCTTCCCATCACATCATGATGCCAAGTCCTAGCTTTTTAAGAATAACAGAAAGTGTTCTGGCCAGGTAGCTCAGTTGGTTGGAGTGTTGTCTCATGCACCAACAAGGTTGCAGGTTCAATTACTGGTCAGGACACATATCTAGGTTGTGGGTTCAATCCCCAGTCAGGGCACTTATGGGAGGCAACCAATCAGTGTTTCTCTCTCCCTGCCCAATGGGATCAAACCCCAACCTAGGTATGTGCCCTAACTGGGCATCAAACCCGAAACCTTATGGTATATGGTATGATGCTCCAAACAACTGAGCCACTTCAGCCAGGGCTATATATATATTTTTTTATTATGGAAAATTTCAAACGCAAAAGTTCAGTGACTTTCTGTTGGTGTTCTTTATTTTTAGATGTTCTCTATATTTAGGGATATCAGCCTTTTGTGATGTAAGTTGCAAATATTTTTCCAAGTCAGTATTTCTTTTAAAGCATTATTGAGGCATAATTTGCATAAAATAAACCACACATATTTAATGTGTACAGTTTGATGAGTTTTGAAATGTGTGCATTCCCCTAAACAGTGATCATAATCAAGATAAACATTTCCATCACCTCCAGAAGTTTCCTTGTGCCTGTTATGACCCACTCACCTAATTCCCTGGTCCCCAGGGAATCACTGATCTGCTTTCTGTCACTATACATTCATTTGCATTCCCCAGAATTTTATGCGAGTGAAATCATACTCTCTTTTGCCTGTCTGCTTTTATACAGCATAATTATTTTTAGATTTATCCATCTAGTGTATATCCTTTAAATTCTACTTACATTAAGGTCTTTATTATTTCTCAGAACTTAATATTTAGGGCCGTAGTTGATAATGTTACAAACCACAGATATTTGCACCTCACAGAGGCTTTTAAAATTTTTGACTTATTTGCCAAGATATGAATGTTTTTAGGATTAGTCTGTAAACAGGACTTACTTTGCAGAGAGGGTTCTGGGAAGGAAGGTAAAATCTCACTATTTCTCTGTTCCTGACTCCAGCCTCTGTTTGCCTCTCTTGAGCCAAATGACCCCTTGATCCAGTGAACAGTTAGGTGTAAGGGAAGCCTGGGCATGTGGGCGCCCTGTTGGGGAGCTGGCCCAGGTCATATTCCTCAGAGAGAACAAGTTGGACAAGAGAACAGGCTGGATAAGAGCCTGGGGATGAGGATAAGAGTGGCAGGTATAGGAAAGAGCTTGGCTTGATAGAGATCCATGGATTGCTGTGGGGAAAGAGAAAGGGCAAAAGCAAGGGAACTCACTATCCCTGAGGCTAGGAGATGTAAGGAGACCCGAGGCTTCCTCCTGGGTCTCCGCAGGGCTGGCAGCTTGCCTGCTGCACTGCCCGCCAATGCGGGTAAACACGGCGTGCCTTTCTGTTCTCTGGAGACTGTTCCCACTGTGGTCCTTCAACAGCGAAACCTAAGCCCCTCTGAGGTAGCAAAGAAAACAACCTATCGGGGAAGCCAGGCAACCAGAAAGAGAAAAATAACGTAGGATAAACAATGTGTTGGACCAGCTAAATAGAAATGCTGGAAAAGACAGTAGCTTGAATATGAAAATAATAAATAATAGGAGCATTTAAGGAGGTTCAAGTATAAAAAAAGACTTTATTGAGCAAAAATATGATTTCCTAGCTACATACTGCTTCATAACTCTTAATCCATGCACACACACCTTTTTTTATTATCTCCACTGAAATGTAAAAGCAGGAACTTTGTCTCTTATATACATTGCTGATCTGTTATCAACATCCAATGTCTACAACACTGTCTTGCACATAGTAAGCAACCAGTACATAATTATTGAATAAGAAATGAATGAATGAGTGTGATTATGTATTGGCCTGGAAGATCAAGTGGAAGAAATATCAAAGCACAGAGGCAAATAAACAAAGAGATTAAAAATTTTAAAAAAGGTAAGAGCCCCCCTGGTGTGGCTAAGTGGTTGAAGGTTGACCTAAGAATCAGGAGGTCATAGTTCAATTCCCAATCAGTGATTCTAATCATTGATGTTGCTTTTTTTTTAAATCCTCACCTGAAGATATTTTTCCATTGATTTTCTTTGGAGAGAGTGGAAGAGAGAGGGAAAGACAGAGAAATATCAAAGTGAGAGAAACACATCGATTGCTTGCCTCCTGCACGAATTCCGACTAGGTCCTGGGCCAGGGAGGAGCGTGCAACCGAGGTTGACCGGAATCAAACCCAGAACCCTTCAGTCTGCAGGCCAACTCTCTGTCCACTGAGCCAAACCGGCTAGGGCTCATTGATGTTTCTATTTCTCCCTCCCTCTCCCTTCCTCTCTGAAATCAAGAAAAATATTTTTTAAAATCTAGTAAAAAAAAAAAAAAGAGCCTTGGAGAATAGATTCAGGACACCTAACGTGGCTAATGTAATTTCCTGAGTTAAAGACTTCATTGCATAGAGTAAAGTTTCAGGGAAGATCAGTGATAGAAAACATAAACCTAGAGTTATCCTAGTAAAATGTTTGAGCTCCAAGGATTCATCTTAGAAGCTTCCAGATAGAATTTATTATACCTATAAAGTATCAGACTGGCATCACAATTGTAATCCACAACACTGGAAATTAGGAGATAGTGGAAGAGTATCCACAGATTACCAAGAGAAAAATTAATCCAAATCCATATTCAGTGAAAACACCATCCCCCTAAAAGTGGGAAATACAGTACAAATATACAAAAATACAGATATTTCCTCTGAGAATACTTAAGAAAGGTTTTTAATAAGTGAGCCAGAACAGAGATCACAAGATGAAAGGGATAGAAATAGCTGAAAATGACAGACTCTGTGGGTATGTGTTATGTCAGTGCTAAGTAAGGACTCTAACCAAAATGGACATACTTTAGGGAACAATTTAATAATATTTATGATGTAAAAGTACTAAATAAGTCAATGGGAAAAACCCTCAAAAGTGTGGGAGGAAAAAGGTAAAGGCTTTCCAAATGGAGATGAGGAGAGGAAAAAGTGCCAATAGGCACATAGAAAGCTGCTCAAAATTATTCACCATTAGGGAAATGCACTTCAAAACCACGATGAGGCATCACCTCACATCCCCTAGGAAGGCTTTAATAAAAAAGATTGACAATAACAACTGTTGACGAGGATATGGAAAAACTGAAACCCTCATACACTTCTGGTAGGAACAAAATGTTACAACCACTTTGGAATACAGTTTGGCAGTTCCTCAAAAAGTGAAACATAGAGCTACCCTATGACCCAGCAATTCTACTCCTAGATATATACACAAATGAAATGAGAATAAACGTCCACACAAAAACTTGTACAGGAATATTCATAGCAGCATTATTCATAATAGCCAGAAAAAGATAGAAACAACCCACATGTCCACCAACTGATGGGTTAATTAATAAAATGTGGCATATTTGTGTAATGGAATATTATTTGCCAATAAAAATACATGAAGTACTGATAACATGCTACAGTGTGGATGAACCTTGAAATAATCTACAGAAAATAGATTAGGGGCTACTTTGGATTGGCAAGGCAACGGAGTGAGATGGAGCTTGACTGCTAATGGGTACAGGGTTTCTTTTAGAGGGGGACCAAATTCTAAAATTAGGTTGTGGTGAGAGTTGTATAACAATGTGAATATATTAAGAAACATTGCCCTGACCGGTTTGGCTTAGTGGCTAGAGCGTTGGCCTGCGGACTCAGGGGTCCCAGGTTTGGTTCCAGTCAAGGGCATGTACCTTGGTTGTGGACACATCCCCAGTGGTGGGTATGCAGGAGGCAGCTGATCGATGTTTCTCTCTCATCGATGTTTCTAACTCTCTATCCCTCTCCCTTCCTCTCTGTAAAAAATCAATAAAATATATTTTTTTAAAAAAAAGAAAGAAATGCCCTGACTGGTTTGGCTCAATGGATAGAGTATCGGCCTGGGGACTGAAGGGTCCCAGGTTCAATTCTGGTCAGGGGCATGTGCCTTGGTTGCAGGCACATACCCAATGGGGAGTGTGCAGGAGGCGGCTGATCGATGTTTCTCGTTGATGTTTCTGGCTCTCTGTCCCTCTCCCTTCCTCTCTGTAAGAAATCAATAAAATATATT